TCAGTGCGTTGTGCTTCGGCTTGTGCTGCGGTACCATTACAGCTAATTTGGTTCGTTGCAATCCTGTTTGGATACCTGAGTGTTTGCTGTAAACAAGAGCAGGTAAATCCTGTGTCCTCAGACATCCCTTGCTTCTTGGCATCCCTTGCCAATTTTGAAGAAAGAAGCTTCTCTCCCAAACCTCGCTTCTGAGATATCTGGATTACCGCAAGAAATGCTTACCTGTGTCCCTAAATTGTCCCTCTGTGGGACTTGAAATTCAGGCATGATTCTGTTGAAATGAGGATTGGAAGCCCTTGCCTCCTTTAAGTGTATTTTGAGACCTTTGTCCCCAGGCTCGAACTGTGTTTGGCTCACAGTTAAAAGATTAAAACAGTGACAGCTAAAGTTAGCAGGAGAGCTTTGCGTCCAATTAAGCCCCATCCACAACTTATCTCTGCGTCCCAATGGCTTTACAGCGTATGCTCGTTCTAGATGAAATCTCTCCAAGGTTTGTTCTCAGGCCGTCCATGATTATTTTTGGTGCTGACTGTTTTGGCTTCGCTCTGTTTGCTCCTATTTCAGAGCTGGCTTCCCGAGCCACTTAGGAGATTGTGAATGATTGGGTAGGAAGTCAGTACTTCCTGGTGAACAAACTGTTCTGTTTGGAACAAGCTGTCAGCCATCCATCAGCAAAAATGTTTGTGTTTCTCTTTGCCTCTTTTGTTTTCTGCATATCTGGCAACAGGAATTTGAGACGGTGTGTGTCACACTTGCGTTGGGGGTTAGAAAGAGTTTCAGATATGTGATGCAGTAAAAATCTTGCCTCTTTAACAGTGAGCTTGCTAAGAACATATACTAAATCCCTACGTTTTTTCTTCTCCGACTGGAGTTCCCTGCAGGTGGGAGAGGTCTGAAAGTGCTGCAGGATTTCAAAAATGCATTTGGTGATGTTTTCCTGAGCTCCAAAGGAGCCCGTTATGAAAAAGAAAAAAAAAAAAAAAAAAGCTCCAAGAGGCATGCACAGTGCAGACTTATAGTACGCCGACACGTACTTCTAACATAATAGTCCTCTTACGTCAGCCTCCTAGGAATGTGTTAGTTCCTGAATCTTGCTCAGGAAGAGACGCTATCATGGTTGATACTATGCAGGATAGATCCGGCAGATTAGCACTTTAGAAGACTGCTCATGAGGAGATCCGTGTGTTGCGGCAGTACCTACTGAAACAGGGGGAAAAGGGAGAAGAAGAGATTTGAAGCAAGCGTGCTTCCCTTCTCCGTGCAGAAGTTACGGCCTCGTCTCTTGTGAGCGCAGTGCAAAATACCTGCTCCTTGTGTTGGAAAAGGAGCGATTGCCCTTGAGGGCTGCGTCATTATCGACTGAGCTTTATGCAGCAGTGGTGATTTTGCTGCAGGTCTGAGTAGTGGCAAACTGTAAGAAAGGGGTGAGTTGGGGCAGCAATTTACAACTTGTGCTCTATCAACGGTCCTTGGCCAGCCAACATGTAATTTCAGAACGGTGCCAGATCTTAATCAGCAGAAGAAACATGCAAAACACACATTTGTATCTTGGGGGCAGGGATCCTTCTGGCAGCTGTATCTTCTGCATGTGTTCGTTTAGTCCTGCTTCAGATGCTCAAGCCTAACTCTCTGGGGACCACTGAGTGAAAATTAAACTGTGGTGGTGCTGTCTGGGATTTGCAAGCTCAGCATGTTAAAACAGCACATTCAACGTTCCCCCTGCTCCCCCCCTTCCAAACCTTGAGCTATTTCTCTTTGCCTTTTATTTTTTGATGCGTTCGGCTCAGTCACATTTCCACTTTCCTCTGAGGATCAGGCCTGGAGAGGTTTTTGTTCTGCAGTGTAAGGGTGGGATACTTCCATAATCATTTGATTCGAGGAGGGGAGGCTTTAGGGAAACCGCAGCGTGTCGCAAAACTCACGGTAGGGTTGCGAGGTTTGACAAGCGCTGTAGTGTACGCTGGGCTCTGCGTTTCAGACAGTGTCTCGGCTGTCCAGCTAATGACTTCAGGTCCATAAAGGGCTCTTTCTCTGCGCTGGAGAAAAGCACTACTGTGTTGGTGCTGGCGTTCTGAGAGGTGATGCTGGGTGAGAGCTTATTACGGGGAAGGAGGATGTTCCCTGGGGGCAGGAAACGATTTGGCACTGGGACTGCACCATACAGAAGCACAGATGTGTTGGTACTTGTCAAACAGAGATGTTTGCAGTCTCCTCGCGGGGAAGAGCTGCCTGAAAAGAAAAGGGGAAAAGAAGCAGAACTACTGAACTCGCATAGCAGCAACCCAGGAAAAACCCAGCTCGTTGATTTTTATCCCTTGAAATGACTGTGGAAGGGGGAAGCAAAATCCAGGATGCACTCTGCCGGCTGCAGCAGTGAAAATGGGAACTGAGAGTCCCAGAGTGGGTAAATGTGTTGCCTGAGGTGGGTGAGACAGTAGCCCTGGAAACCTTTTTAGTCCGGGGCTTCCCGTCAAGTCATAGGATGATGACACAAGTTCGAGGATGGGAATCAATCACACGTGATAATTCTGGAGGAATTATTTTTCCATCCCAGAGCATTTTCAGTCTAAGTTTCACAGTAGTGGGACTGACTTTTAGGCTTGCTTACAGTTAATCTTGGAGGCAAGATTTAGGCTAATGATTGCTTGGACGCAGCTATTCTTACCAGTATATTAAAACAGTCTTTAATTGGCTATCTGTTCAGCGTGCCCGCAAGCATTGGAAAATTACACCTCTCACTTGGAAACACACAAAAAAAGAAGAGGCTAGTTTTGGGAGATTTAGCTGAAATGGAATGGAAGATGGGCATGAAATTCAGAATACGATACGATAGCTAAATCGTATCGATACGATAGTGATACGATAGTGATACGATAGCTAAATCTCTGTGATGGGGGGTTGATCTCTGTTGGGATGCTGATCTTTCTGAAAAAAAGACAATAATAAAAGCAGGAGAGGAAAGGAAATTTTTTTTTCTCCTGCTAGGGAATGATTTTTTTCACCCAGATTTCTGTGTAGGCAGATCCCTCTGTTACATATAAAATACCAATTCTCTAATGAATGCTCATTCCTTTGCTGAATCCTAAAAAATGTTAACGGCCCAGCAAGCAAAGTTAAAAACATCAGGCTATTTTGCTAACACAGTTAAAAATACCTTTTACTTTATTGTCTCTCTCATTCCTCTTTTTTCTTATATTAAAAAAAAAAAGAACAAATAAAATACTATCACTTCCCTACTTTGACTTTAGATGTAGAAATACTCATATATGGCAAGAAGTGGAGATTATAGGAAAGCACAGACCCCCACCCCGCCCCGGTTGCATCAGCAATACGAAGCGGAGAAACCCATGACTGTGCAGAATCTGGCTGGGAAGAAAATACTTCTACTCTGTCTCCCTCCCGAGACTTTTCCTTTGGCTGGCTCCGTTGGAAATGCAACCCATATCAGAAATAAGGCAGTAAGGATGCCCGAGGCCAGCCTGTGCTCCACGCAGGCGGTTTAATGAGACCTGATAATACGGTGGCAGCAAAGTGAGTGATAGCGTGGAGGAGCAAAGCCCTACTTGATAGTACCGGCTCTCTCTGGGATTACTAGAGGGTAGAAAATTGCAGTGCTGGTAAATTAGGACATGTATTCTGGAGTCCTGAATCCTGCTTGATAAGAAACGTGTAAATATTTCACATGCAAAAAGTCTTTATTAAAGTAACGTTATCAAACGTTATCAGTTAGATGTCAGGGAGCGCCAAAATTCAGGCTGCCGCTTCAGCTTCACGCTGGATCCCCCGCCTGTTTCAGGAAGTTCAGGAGGTCGAGTTGTGTGTTTTCTCTGCTTCCCATCCCACCCTCTTCTTCCACCAGATCCTGGTATCGTTCGGCCTTGCAGGCAGCTGGGGCCGTGACTCCCGGCTGCCTACCAGTTTCCTATTTCTTGCCCCAGCCTTTCCCACTCCCGGCCTCCCTTCTACCCTCTATAACTTGCATCTCCTTGATGCAAGCTGCGCTGAGTCTTGGGGCTCCTCTCCTACCTTGTATTCCCTGTTTCTCACTTGCTCCAGCTTCTTCTGACTCCTTTTTCCGTCTACTCTCCTCTCCACCCTGCATCAGTGGCTCGCGCCCAGTTGGTCCATATTTCTGACCTGCAGTTTTAAGACGACCATGTCTTACAATTTTAAGGAAGCAGAACACAAAGAAAGGGATGTGGGGATGAACTCATGGCTTTCTCTTTCTGGACTTGGAGCCACCTCCGCGCTGCACAGCCAGTAGCTCGCTGCGGTAGGGTTGTTTATTGGAGCTGGGTGGGTTGGAGCTGGAGAGGGAGTCAAGGCATAGCCCTGGCGGGCCTGGAGACACTGCTGAAAACAGCCTTGGGGTCATGCTTCCTTTGCTCTTGGTGGCAAGATCGGGTGCTTTGTGTTCCCGGTTCTCGTTTATGTGGGATTGACAAGGGAGGTGAAATTTTCCTCCCCAGAGAACAAAGTTGCGTTTATGGCAAGCAACTAGGCGACTTAAGTAGCTTTTGTTTTGCAAGTGTAATTGAAATAATATGCGCGTTGACCTGTATTTTAACAGGTAGAAAAGATAGGGAGCGTGCTACCTCTACCTCCACTTGGATTAAATGTCCTTCCCTGTGTGCCTAAGGATGTATCAGTCACCTGACAGCACTCATCCTACAGGAAAGCGAATGCACCGTTGCTTTCAGCTCTCAGGAGAGTCTCTTCTACCTGCAGCAGCAGCAAGAGATGCAAAGGCATTTTTGCAACACAGGCTTTGGGCTGGGAAGAGAGGGTCAAAGTTGGAAAATAACCCAAAGGCATATTGTTCAAAATCAATTCCAGCCAATGCTAAAGGCAAATCTCGTTCTTTGTTATTTTCCCTTTCCTAACAAATTGCCAGAGGTTTTCGTCTCTCTTACATTAGTTCTTGCTAAAATTTTCTTCTGTACAGAGTGCAAGAGAGTAAACAGAAGCCTTTTGTTTGTTCTTGTGTTTGTTTGCATCAGAGAGCAACCAATGTGATTTACCAAGCCCATCACGTCAGCAGAAGTAAGAGAGGACAAGTGGTTGGTACCAGAGGTGGATTTCGAGGCTGCACAGTTTGGCTAACAGGTATTTTAATGTGTGTGGAAGTCTCACTTACTGTGGGAAACCCACTTGCGTAAATGAGTAAGATGAGGAGGGCAGTTTAGAAGTGGGCGTTGGGGGTTTGCAGGAAATGTCAGTGTTTCCCTATGAACTGCAACTTGCAAAATTTTTGTTTTCATGTGGGAAATACTGATGTGGTGTTTACAGCTGCTGCCCATAACTAACATCTGTATCCATTTCACCACTGCTATTGGGGCTTGCAGGTGGCTGGGTCCTTTCGTTGTGCACTTGGAAAGCCCTAAGGGTCACGCTTCTTGTTCCCAAGTGTGTGGCTGAGGCTTGAATCCAGCTTGCTAGTTCCCTGGCAGAGAAACTTGCCCAGGATTGCCCAAAACAGTATACAGACATTTTCATTCTGTGTCAATGGGAAGTTTATTGGGACACCTGCATTCCCTGTATTTAAAATGACGTTGTGAACTGCTAAAGAGGGCAGTCATTTTGTCTTAAAAATAAACATGCTCACACAGTGAGTTGGACTGGAAGTGTTTTATTGTGTAGACCCACTGTGGGTTTTTTATGTTATTTCTCATCTGATACCTGTTTTGATGTGTTGCCCTTCTTTTGCTTTGAAAGACAAACTCATTATTCAGGGATTAGGGACTTGTGGAAATGACAACTGCATTTACTTTGCTCCACTGGTATTTACACACCTTTAGATTTTGCCATTTGTCCAGTTGTTTCTCTACTTGTTAAGATATTGGTAACTTTTCTTTGACTCCCAGAAAATGTTGAAAGACGTGCTCGGAAAGGCTTAGAGAGCCACTCTGATTTGCCTTTATAGCAGCTTATGTGCTAAACGGTAGATTAAAATATATTTCTCTTTTGATCTGCTCTCTATTTGCTAAAAGATTACCAACATTTAATCTGTTTCAGCATCATTTCTGAAGCCAAAAACCTATCCAGGCCAATTTCATTCTCTTTCAATTATCACTCAGAGATCCTGTATGTGAAAGGTTTGGATTTCTCTTGCTGATAGTTATTCTTTAAAATATACAACTGTTCCCCAACTTTCTGTCTGTTTAATTTTAAGAGACTATTTGGAAGAACATTTCATTTCTTGGGCTATAGGGACTAAACAGAAGGACCCTTGAGCGCTCTAGATTGCCAGCTCAGGAAAGCTATCTCTTAGTCTGTTGTGCTATGAGAATCAAAGGCACAGCAGCAGGCATCTGAGTCCAACCAGATTTTCTCTCCAGCACAAATGTGATTCTCTGCGTCAGACCAAAAGTCCATCAAGCTCAGGGTCCTGTCTCCATCAGCGTCAATAGTATGTGCCAAGAAAAGGGTATGAAAACAGGCGAGCAGACGATGATAGCGCCATAGGATTTTCTCTAAGACTAAGTGCTTTCTGAGGCAGGCATGCCATTTGGAGGTGGTGTCTCTGCTAACTAAAGAGCCTTTTGTATCTCGAGGAGTTTTCAACGCATGGGTCCTCACCCAAAAGAAAGGCATTTGATGCCTCAGGTGCACTTTCCTCTCCCCAACACAGCCAGTAGGAAGCTTTTTTTGTGCAAGTGGATGGAGCTGGGATGGGAAACAGCTACCTCATTTAGTATCGTTGACTTTCTGGCTGACTGCTGGGCAGGTTGACTCCAGGAGAAGCAGGCAGCTGAAGAAGTCTTGTTAGCCTACGCCACCCTCCCGCTTCTGCCTGTGCAGACCTATGGGTGCAGCAGCTGCAGAAAGAGGTGTCCATGGATGGAGAGGGGCAATTGCTGCTGCTGGAGCCTGTCTCTCCCCAGGCAGCCATGGCAGGAAGCTCTGGGAGGGGAGTGGGCTGTCTGTAGGAGGAACAGAGGGAGGAAGAGGAAGATGCTGAGAGACTTACAGGCAACAGCCTCCCCTCAGGCTTCCCCCACTTACTAGTACTTATTGGTTCTGCCACAGCCCAGCAGGATGAACTTTTGCAACACTGCCTACTTGGGCCCCTCCAAATCCTAGGATATACCAGCTTTTCTCAAGGTATTAATGCCACCCCTTGGGTAAGAAAGGTTAGTCAGAGCTCTGTGACAGTAGCTGTACACTAAAAAGATGAATCCAGCTTCCTTACCACATTCTTTTCTAAAGAAACTTAAGGTAGGAGTTTTGTTAGCGGCACCCCTTGCGGGATAAGGTTACAGTGTCATTTTCAGTCTTTTGAACTCTAACCTGAGCCTCACCTTTCTGCCTCCAACAGGCCTTTCTGGAGCTGGTAAGACAACCATTGGCTTTGCTCTGGAAGAGTACTTGGTCTCTCATGGCATCCCCTGCTATTCCCTGGATGGTGATAACGTTCGACATGGGCTGAATAAAAACCTCGGTTTCTCAGCTGGGGACCGCGAAGAGAACATTCGCCGCATTGCGGAGGTGGCCAGGCTGTTTGCTGATGCTGGGCTCGTCTGCATAACTAGTTTCATTTCTCCTTTTGCAAAGGTAAACTCGTGGCATCGTGTTTTGCTCTTTTCTGGGCAGCCTTGGTCTCGTGACCGTTCCTAGGAAAGAGGTGTTTATGTAGAAGAATTGATATATATCACATCAGACCGTCCCTTTAATTTTTCTCTGTTCTTTTGTAACATACCACAGGTATACAGAACTAAATACCATCAGGACAAATTCATGGAAGGCAGTTTGGCCTGACCTCATTGCTTTCAAATACATTAAAAATTCAGGAATGTTTAAAAGTCAAAAGAAGTTTAAAATCGCACTAAAGAGCCTCCTGCCATTAACTCTCTAGGAGGCAGAAAAGAGGCATGAAAAAAATATCCTGTCATAGTGCTATGAATGCCCCATTTGAAGAAATATTGACTATGTTTTTATGCTTCCGGAGAACACCAAGTAGCTGCCGTTATCGAGCCAATGCAAACACTTTTTCAAAACAGAATAGATAATTACTCACATTCTAAAGCTCTGCTGTCCTACTCGATGAAGATATTTTCTTGCTGTTTCAGATGAAAAAGCTGAAAACAGATCAAAGTTGTAGGAAGGGGGACAGGAGATAACAGTCCGTATTAGAATGAGTTTAAACTTAATAAACCTGTACCAGAGATGAATTTACCTGTGTTGAATTCCAGGGAGTGTCACGTAGTAGGATCATGCTAGCTGCAAGTCAAAGTCTTATAGGCAGCCCCATGAACTGTGGAATCCCTTACAATTTCTCTTCTTTCTTCTAACAGGATCGTCAAAACGCACGGAAAATTCATGAAGCAGCTGGACTTCCTTTCTTTGAAATCTTTGTAGATGCTCCTCTAAATATTTGTGAAAGAAGAGATGTGAAGGGACTGTACAAAAAGGCAAGAGCGGGAGAGATCAAAGGTATGGAAGAGTGAACTCTTATTTTGCCTTTTACTTTCAGGAGCATTAGACAGCTTAGCTTTGCAGCTCTGCAGGTAGAAAAGTTCTGAAGGTGGGTTAATACAGGCTGTTTGTACCACACAAGAATGTCTTATTTCCCTAATCTTACTCTCACAAGTGTCACTTACAGTACTCTGTAGGATTGAATGCTTCGTGGCTGTTTGTACAGCGTTGTCGGCTCTAGGACACTGAGTATTACATAAAATAAATTTAGTTCGGATTTAATTGCCCATAGGATTCACGGGGATTGACTCAGAGTATGAGAAGCCTGAATATCCTGAACTAGTGTTGAAAACGAATGCTTCATCAGTGTCTGAATGTATTCAGCAGCTTGTGGAGCTCCTACAAATACAAGTAGGTCATTTTTTACCACCACTGCTGGCACCTTGTAAACCTGATTTCAGATGCTGACTTTTTGGTGTATGTTTGAAAACCAACACGTTACTTACGCTTGCTGTCTTTCTCCTTTAGAACATCGTTCCCAAGTCATCAGTTAAGGATGTTCTTGAGCTGTTTGTACCTGAAAATAAGCTTGATTTTGCCCGAGCTGAAGCAGACATGCTGCCATCTGTAGAGATCACTAAGGTATGATTGCATCCTAATGCTGCACCGTGATTCAGTAATTGTTTTGCTGTTTGGAGGACAGACGCTCCAATACGGGCAGTTCTGAAGGGTGTCCCGTTCGCCTAATTGCTGTGTCCTTGAATGGCTGTGGCTGTGTGTTATGAAGAGCTAAAGTATTGTCCTGGTATTCAGCCCTTTTCTCCTGCCTTGTCTCTGCCCTGTGCTGTAGCAAGCCACCTCCCTGATCGTGTTCAGCGTGGCCCCACAAACAGTTGTGCTGTGAAAGGATCCAGAACTGATCCTGCTTTAAAAAAAAAAAAAAAAAAAAAAAAACC